GATGGATGGATGGATGGATGGATGGATGGATATTTACCTCCAGTCTTGCCTGTTCCCTTGGCATACCGTTCATATTAAAGTATGCCTGACAATAGGTAGAGTGATTCGGACCACGAGAATCACTTTCTGGATAATCTTTGGCCTGTTGATATAATCAATAAGACAAGAATCGTGTTTAAGATGGTGTAACACTCGCCTCTCTTCTCTGGTATCAAAGTCATAGTAGACTATCAATCACATGTGTGTCGAGTTTGTTAGGTCTCTCCCTTGATTCAAGGGTTTATCTCCCAGCTCTGGTTTTTATCCCACCGCAAAACTTAGCACGCCAAGATCCGATTCAATGTGTAAGTAAGTCCTGACCTGACTTCAATTTTACCCATGATTCACTTACATTGCCTCGCCTCTTTCTAAGGTAGTGTAGTAGGTCACCATTAGGTAAATACTCCACAATAAGGAACATTGGATCCATGATAGTACCACAGCCGATCATATTGACGATGTTACGGTGAGATCCAACGTCTTTCATCAGCTGAATCTCTTTCAGGAAGTCCTTTCTCTGATCGTCATCGGAGGAGTCTGAAAAAAAGATAACAAAACTGGCATCAAAAAGACTAGAATAAGTTAAGTTGTAATCTCTTTGCGTTTGTCTTCTAATAAATTTCGTATCAAAGTCTAGACTTATCAATAAGTTAAGTACCATGCATTATAAGAAGAAGAAAAAGAAAAAAAGAAGAAGAAGTAGGCAACAAACCTGCCTTATTATTATTATTATTATTATTATTATTATTATTATTATTATTATTATTACTATTAAACGTCCCATCGCTAACGACAAAGCATACACTCATACCGTGAAGCATCTTGACCGCCACGAGAAGAGGATCGTCACCCCTGCTTGATCTTATACTCCTGATGCTTCTACGTCCAAAGCTCATACTTGAAGAACCACCTTTCGATGATTGGTCTGGTAATTCTAATATCATTGCTTTATAGACTTTACCAAACGCGCCCTCGCCGATTACTTCGATCAGTTCAAGATTATTATGAGACATTTCCCAGTGATCAATGATGACCCCTTTGTGCCTGAAGACAACAGAAAAACAATCAATACCATCTTTAATATTTATACTCAATTCTTGAGAACAAGTCCTCATTTGACTCTTTAATTCTTTGATCTTTCCTAAGCTAAACCTTTTTCTCACTCAAGTATAGCAAACAAAACTCAAGATACACTTAGCATACAGCAAAACTAGTAATTCGTTGATGGAATTATTTTGTTTTTATGAACGAAATATATATCAATGTTTAGGACATTACCTATTTGAACAACAATGCATTTCGCGTGTGCGTACGTTCAGATGGTATAGGTAAACCTCGTTTTAAAACTAATAGACCCTTTTCGAGTTCCAAATTACCGCTCTATTTCTTGATAACAAACTCATTTGCTCAGGCTAAGCCTCGATTTTGTTAAGAATATTCACGTGTTCTAGTCAAGGTCCGTCAAGTTTCAAAGTGTTCGTATTGTTGAACTTGTGCATTCTTTACTTTACCGTTGGTATTTGCGAGTAATTAGACACTGATTCGAGGCTTAGCCTGAGCAAATGGGTCTGTAATCAAGAAACACAGCGGTAATTTGGAACTCGAAAAGGGCCTATTATAAATCCTTCGCCCACATAACTTTACAGCGGTTGCTATGACAAGCTCAGCGGCGTATTAACGAACCTGTCAACTTTGCCATGCTCGACATCTTTTTGTTTTTTCCAGCGAATGAAGTGTAACAAAAGTAAAAGCAGGATGGCCAGGAACACAAGAATGCCGACAACCAGCAATGCAATCTGACCAGAAGTCCATGTTTTTGATGCCACAGATAATTCTGGGGGAAATAATTAGTATAGGAAATCGCACGATCTCGAGTACAATTCGGAATTCAAAGGAGTGATGTTTAGAAAGTTTTCAAAATTGGACCAGCCTTCCGAGGCGAGTCCTATGAATTCCAAATTGTACGAGAAGATTGTGCGTTTTTTTGTTTATAATACGCTCAACAAAATTGAGCAATTTAATTGTGACAATACAGAGTACAATTTGGGATTTAATTGTACTCCTCTTTTCCAATCAGAATCGAGTAATTTTGTTGAGTGTTTTATTATATATAATATATGATATATAATATATAATACTACGGATACTACGATAACCTTGGGAAAGATCTTAACAACATCACAAAATACGAAAAAGTTAATTTTTCTAATACATGAAAAAATAGATTTTTTTCCCCGACTTTATGAGAATTTTTAAGAGCACCAAAACGACGAAATATGACAAATCAATGTATCTCTTTGTCTTTTTGTCGAAAATATCTATGAATTATTTTAGAATGATTGACTAGCCGTAATTCGCGCAATCATAGAGTCTGCAAATAACTATTATCTTATGAATCTTAATTTTTTTCTAATCACTTCCGGTGGCGCAATTTTTGCTCCAAAAGCTCGTGAGTAGGCTTCCATTAAATACCGATTATCTCGAAAACAAGCTCGCGACACCCCATTTTTCTTTTCACATTTGGAATCAACATTAAATTTCACTTTAAGAGAATGTAGTTTTTAAAAAAGGGCAAATTTTTTCCCAAAAGTAGCCAGTCGCCTTCAACGAACGAACATTTAATTTGTTATCTGCATTCGATATAACAATTTGTGATTTATTTTTCACTCAGTAGGATAGAGATTTTTTCCTGTAAACATTATTCGGACCGGAAAGCATATTCATATTTTTATCATTTGCAATTGGAGCGAGCACGGTTTTTCCATTGAACGATTTACTATGCATGGTTATGTATATATGGGAATACGCATACCTGGTGGACGGGTTGTAAGTGTTTTAGGTATCCCTTGAAAAGCGTGAGTATTTTCAAACACTGGTGTCACCTTGAAAAAAATATTGAAAGATTTGTTAGAATATTTATCATGATTACAGAACAACATCCCACATGGACCAATGCATCATTAGGACATTATACCCATTGGGAGAAAGTCATTGGTAATAGTAAGGGGTTTCTTGTCTACGGACTAGAGGTCAACTATTCTCTACCTTAGACTGCGATCGAGCTTACTGATCAGTCCATCAGTTGATAGCGGAGACCGCCCAAGCTTCTTATATACAGCACAAAATATTTTATTTGAGAGTCATTTTAGCGCATTCACACCAATTTGGGACACTTTTTTACTCACCATCTACTACTACATTCAATGTTCTATTCCGGTGACAATCAACTCACATGAAGATTTTTAGAGTATCATCTAATTTCACTTACCGTTATCTCTATCTGATCTTTTTGGCGAATATTGCTCATATTGTAAAATGTCCTAATCTAAAAAAACATAGGAATTTGAATGGTGAAATTAGGAGACGGACGATAACGAAAGATAGAGAGAAGGGAAAAGGGAAAAGGGAGAGAAGGAGGGAGGGGGAGAGAAGAAGGGAAGGAGGGAAAGAGGAAGAGAGGAATAGAGAAAGGGGGGAGATAGGGAGGGAGGGGTAAAAGAAGAAAGGAAGGAGGGAGAGAGGGGGGGGGGGGAAGAAGGAGGGAAGGAGGGAAGGAGGAAAGGAGGGAGAGAGGAATAGAGGGAGGGGGAAGTGGAACAGGTTGTTCAAGGGTTCTCAGAAGCCATTAATGTTACATGTCTAGTAAGGCTTACAATTTTCCATGAAAAAATTAAAATGTCGTCGTCATTTTTAGCTTCAATTTCTGCCTAATTTTCATTGGTTTCTGACCAAATTTAGTTTCACCAGAAATATGCTGAAAATTACCGTTTTGCTGGCCAGACATTTTCTGTTGGTAGAGGGCTTGGAAGGACAATCAAGTTTGTCGTCAGGGTAACCAGTTAATCTATAAGCCACTTTGTAGTATGATACGATTCTCTGAAATAATGGAGGCGACCATCTCCATAACAGACGATACGTATTGCTTGTTTTGACAAAGCTATGGTCTAAGTCTTGTATCATGAGTTTCTCATTCTCTAGAACTGAAAAATAAAGACGATATATTATGTGTGAGTTAGCCAAGCCATGACTTAGATCAGCCCAGAGGTTGTTTCAGAGTTCCGTCTGTGAGTTAGCCGTGCCCTGACGTAGATCAGCCCAGAGGTTGTTTCAGGGTTCTAACTTTGAGTTAGCCATGCCCTGACTTAGATCAGCCCAGAGGTTGTTTCAGGGTTCTAACTTTGAGTTAGCAGTGCCCTGACTTAGAACAGCCCAGAGGTTGTTTCAGGGTTCAGTCTGTGAGATAGCAGTGCCTGACTTAGATCAGCCCAGAGGTTGTTTCAGGGTTCGAGCTGTGATTTACCCAATTGGAAACGCTAATGGGGGGATTCTAGTTGCAAAAACTAATGATAGGTGTCATGCATCGTTTCGGGCAAGATGGCTTCATGGAATGGTTTGTTACGTATGAATACCTGGTAGACTCGCTTGTCCTTTAGCTGCTTCTGTCAAAATCCATGGATCACGATAAACAGGTATAACCTGTTTTAAAGGTACAAGTTTCATGTTTAACAGGGCTATTTCATTAATTTCCGTATCACTCAAGCCGGGGACCTCAGTAAATCTCGGGTGGCTCGGACAACGAAAAGGGAAGTGTTAAAACATTAAATACGGGGTAAAAATTCTGAACGTCTTCTCCAGGACTGAGGAGGGTCTTTAAGTGGAAGTTCACGAGTCAGACGAAAAAGATCATCATCTTCATAATTGAAAGCAATGAACTAGCACTGTGAACGTATAATATATTCAATATATATTATATAATATAAAATATTGTATGAAATCATACCTCGTAAGAAACCTTTTGTGTATAGTCCAACCCTCTCACCTCATACCATAAATTTTGCTAGAAACAACAAAACAAGTATGTTATTCTCTTAGTCTCTCTCTCTCTCTCTCTCTCTCTCTCTTTCTCTTCCAGCCAAACAAGCCCACATCCCTTTGCAAGGAATATACCCCAGATTGGTTAAACACAATCACGTGATGAATTTGGAAACGGCCAAGATGCGGCTTACCAGACACAGGACGGCAGCTGACTCGATCTACTAAGAGCAAATATCAAACAATCTTTACCGTTGTATTCCTTGTGGCATTAACGTCTCCCGACACTGTATAGGTGATATTGTATCCTTCTATTCTACTGTATTTGAACTTGGGTTTAACCCATGAAATGTTAAGAATAAATCTGTCTCCAGGTGACATCGGCGTCTGAATGCGATGCTCTATGTTTGCAATGATTGTCTCATTTACTGGAAGTCCTAGGAAAAGGAAGATGAGGGTAAATTAGCACTATCACTAATGAAGGGAAACTATTCATGGTTCCGACTCCCCTTAGCTACCGTTGCTATGTCCCACAAGTTTAACAAATTATCTAGAATATCTCGGGGTTTATAACCCTGATTGCGGAAAATTGATCATGAATTGTTTCAATAGTTTACTGTCTTGCGAACCCAATTTTGTATAGAATATTCATGTGTTACAGTGAAAGTACGTGGAATTTCAAAGTGTTTGTATTGTTGAAGTTGTGCATACTTTCATTTACCGTTGATATTGGTGAAGATTTTAATGATGAAAAGAGATTAGCCCTTAATAAATGAGTTTGTAATCAAGGAACACAGCGGTACGAATACGAATTTGAAAAAAAAACATATCTTACCTGGGGTCTTGATAGTAACTACTCTGGCAATACCCAAATCATAAAACTCACTTCCAAAATCCGGGGTTATCTGATGAAAAAGATCGAAAGAATTAGCTTTGTTTCTGTTTGACAAATTAGCCAATGCATTGCAAAACTTTAAATGCAGTTGATATATCCTATCACTCCAGTGCTCAAGGACCCAGCGAGTAGACTTTATAAAGGTTAAAACGCTAGGTTTTGCCATCAAAATTCAAACCCGACATCAAACAATAAAGATAGGGCGTGTTTGGTTTTTAATTCAAGGAGAATAAACCAAAACAACAGCAGCAGCAACAACAACAACAACAACAACAACAACAACAACAAGAGAGCTAGAAGCAGCAACAACACGGCCGCCATATTGGTTGATATAATGTTGTCAACATAAATGGTATTTAATAGTAGATTTCCCTTGAACATACCGTGACATTTCGTTCCAGGTTGGGCTCGATGTTCGACATGATATAATAAGTATTGATCTGTAAAATAATCATATAAGACTTCATCAAACTAACGGCTGATCATCAAACAACGTTTTCATTGCAGTTTCGCACGCATTATCGAGGTATGTTAACGTTTTAATGATTAAGGGATGCCATCATTCGTTCGTTCTAGGTTTTTGAAGTGAAGAAAAGAAAAGAAAAAACAACCAAAGTTTGCGAAGGTAAACTTACTATATCAAAAATCCGCTGTGGCCAAAAGCGCTGTATTGTCGGACGAAATACCGGATAACTTAGATCATAATCAGTTACAACTGGACATGGCTGTGTGGGAGGCAACCAAGTGATATTGGCCGTGAACCGGAAGTCACTTTGGGTTTGAAGTGAATGTGTGAGATTACGAACTGCCTTGGCACTGTCAGGTGTTGGCAGAGGATCAACTGTTGGATTAGAAAAGTAGAAAATCAGAAATATGGCTAAAACTACCTTAACTATCACAACAACAATAATAATGATTTATTTGCCACTGTATACTAGAAGTACCTGAATAATAAGAAAATATAAAAGATATTATTTCAATTTTTTATAAGTAGTAAAATACATTGATTTATTTTAGATAGTAGTTTGTCGTAATTCAAGCTTTCYAGCTATTTTGTCTATCTATAACTATATGTGGGAGAGCTCTCAAGTTGCCCCCATCCCCACCCCCTCCCCCACCGGGTCTCTTCTGTCCTCTAAACAATCCCTACAGTGTCGGAGGTGCTCAGAATTTCATGCAGAACTTACATGTACAACAGAATGACGTGTTCATACTTGGTAGATAATGACAGCCTGAAAAGAGAATGAAAATAATTGTTATTTATTACTTATCTTTAATTCAATAATCAATACCAGTTTAATATCTATTACTATAATTTAGTGTTGTTACAATTTAATTAAGTACTAGATATATCCCTCTCGCTAACTCATTTCAGTGTGTGTATTTATAAACTATCTATTATTATTATTATATTATATATATATATTTATTCCTATTGTATTTTGAGTTACTCAATGACCAAATGATGATATTTCACAATCATCGCTTGCTATATTGCAACTTACCTTTGTAGTAATATTCAATACTATTTGGTTTACTGGGAAGACATTCAGTCAGAGAATACGCCTATGAAGCAATAGTAAGAATATGAAATATATCTAAGTAGGTAAGTAGCCTAAAAAGTTTCCTAGATTTTCCATAATGGTTCATATATGTACTTAGTACAAATACGTTATACACCGTCATTGTCTTCCTTGTTTATTTCTTTTTTCTCTTTATTCATTGTTTTCCTTTCTTTCTCTTTCTCTTATCTGTGTTTTAGTTCGTCAAGTAACATCGCRCCCACAAGAGGCGTCACTTTTCTTCTTGAAATTATGAATTWCCAGGACACCAAATGAAAAAAATTACGTTGCTAATAAGAGGTTACTAACGAATTACTAATGAGCTTTTGTATTTTTATTCCAATGGTGGACAAGTTTTTATTTTTCGCTGCTCAATTTTCACAGGCTTCGTGACACCTCAGTTTTGCAGTGACGTCATTTCTACGTCAGTATTTCAGATCAACTGGACGTCGTGCGTACTTACAGTGAATGATATGTTGCAGGTCAAAGTTTCTTGATATAATGTTCCTAAGAAACGGTTTATATTTTTTTCCTGAAATAAAGAAACAATTTCGAACATTGATGAAATTAATTAACCAATCGTAACTAAGCAATAGCAACCCACATAACCACGAACCAACCAACCAATCAACGAACTGTGAATTCACCGACCGACCGATCCACCAACCAAGCAACTAATGAATCCACTGACCAACAGATCGACAAACCAACTGCCCAGCCAAACAGCTAACGAATTCAACGACTTACCAAACGACCGACCAAGCATCTAATGAAACCACAGACCAAAAAACCAACCAACCAACCCATCGACCAACAGACCAAACAACTAATGAATCTACAGACTGACAAACCAACCTACCGACCCATCAACCAACAGACCAAACAACTAATGAATCTACAGACCGACAAACTAAACCACGACCGAATAACCAGGGGTAGGTGGAAAGATGGGTGATTGGGTAGGGGGTGGGTTGGATGGATGGTGGTTGGGAAGGTGGGTAGGTGGGTAGGGGGGTAGGGGGGTAGGTGGGTAGGTGGGTAGGTGGGTAGGTGGGTAGGTGGGTAGGTGGGTAGGTGGGTAGGTGGGTAGGTGGGTAGGTGGGTAGGTGGGTAGGTGGGTAGGTGGGTAGGTGGGTAGGTGGGTAGGTGGGTGTGATGGTAAGCAACTTTACCTTGGATATTTTATCCCTTTCAACATATAATTTTTTACAATGGCCACCTGTTCTCTTTGATTGCCCGACGTATTTGGTAACAAACGACGAACCTAAAAATAAACCAAAAAAACAAGGCAAAAAATTAAAATTGTGTAAAAAATATATATATAAAAAATAAGATAATTATTATTCTCAGGGAAATGAAACGGAAATTCACAGCAGCTAAGGAAGTACAGGGGATAAATGAAGGAAGGAAACGAAGAAAGAAAGAAGAAAGAAAAGAAGAAAGAAAGAAAGTAACAAAAAATGTAACAAAAAAAGAAACACAGAAACAAGACAAGAAGACAAGATGGAAGGAGGTAAAGAAAGGAAGAGAGAGGCAAAGAAAGAAACAATCACAGAAAGAAGAGAAAAAAGAGAAAAGAAAGAACGAAATGAATAAGCAGAAACCGTTCACCATAAAACTAGCAAATAATATATAATATACAAATAATATATCCACCGCCGACTGCAAGGCCAAACATACCAGGAGTTGGTGTAAACCATACTCGAAACTCTAGTTTATCTGCAAAGCCATTGGGATTGTAAACCAAAGAAGCATTATGTAGAGATGCAATGGGCTCAGCTTTTTGGAAACCTTGGGAGAAAAAAGACAATATTAACGTCCTATTTTGACGGGGGAGAAGTAATAAAACATGCCGCTTAGTTGGATAGTGCGAGAGCCATTTCTTCTAAAACAATTTATTATTTCATTAATTATATTTTTCTATTGATAATAGTTATTATAATGCATTTTATTAACGTGTCATTTTTTCTTTAGCGTATTAAAACAATAATACTACAATAAGTGTGTTAATAATACTACAATAAGTGTGTTAACACTTACTGATAAAAGGCGATTGTTGTCCTTCTTCGAGAATACTGACTTCAGTGAGTGCAACCACAATGAAGGAAAAGCTTATTCCATCATATTTAGATCTGTAGCTTCTAGGTTGAACACTACAAACTTCTTTAGCTGTGATGATGGCGTTTGGCTCTAAAAACACGAGCTACGAAAGAAAGTTATCATTAGCCAATCAGAATCGATCACATTTGCAAAACTGTAAAATATCTCCAAAGTAGTATCATAGGACTCCCAGTCATACAAAGACTGTTCTATATTTTTACTGTACACTTTACGGTATACCGAATACTGCAATGGCTTTACATAC